AAAAAAAAAAAAAAAAGAAAAGAGAAAGAATAGAACATTATAGATAATAGAGAGCACACACGTACAACTTTGACATTACTTTTCTGCTTTGGGTTACCAACACATCAATATAATCAGGCTAAGGCAACTTTTCATGCTTTATAAACAACATAAATAACTAGTATATGATCAGCCAAGAACATTATTGATTTAAGTAAAGAAAGTGCACAGCTATTCATGTTAAAAAAAAATACAGCCAAGAACATTATTGTTTAAGTACATGAACTTGTAAAAGGTAATAATTTCCTCATCAAATATATGGTCCGTGATAAGTTCAAAACATCCTGCCTTTAACCCCTAAACAAACAAATTATGTGCAGTCTCTAAATTTTCGCATCCAAAGGTGAAAACGGAATAAAACTAGTACGAATAAGAAAGATAATGATTAGAAGCAAATTATTAAACCTTGTCTTCTTCTGCATTATCTGTATTAAATACATCGGACTTCTCACGGAGCAACAACTTAAGCTTTGATTTCAACTCTTCCTTGTTTTCATCCTGAATGGCAGCATAAACCAGTTAATTTATATTTATAATACTCTGCATTGTAAACTACTAGTATTTTACCCTGTGCACATGCACAAGTGCAAATAAATTTTTTTATATTATATATATAATGTTTTATTGTAAAATTTAAAAATCATAAATTAGATAATAAGCATATCACATTTATAACTTTTATCATTACTATAATGACGATATAAATAAAAACTATTTAACATACATATTAATCATTAAATTTATACAGTGTTATTATGATAATTAATTGGATAAAAAAATATTTAAATAATTATTATAACATTTGTACAAATCACTAAAAAGTTTGGTTATGCCATAAAAGATAATTAATTAATTGTAATAAAGAAACTTACTTAATGAGGTGAAAAAAATAACAATTTTAAATATATAGTTTAAAAAAAACATTAGATTAGAATAACATTTAATGTGTCTTCATTATCAGTTAATAGTAGCAATTATATAATAAAATAAGTAAAAAAATATAATGTGATTAATGCAAAAGTAACGGAAAAAGGCGGGAAAACGAAAAGAGTTTTATTAAATGCTCATGAGCCAGTAATTATATATATATATATATAGATTTCAAAATGAAAACAGAAACCAGGGAGGAAAAAAGATATAATGTCGATAAAAAAAATATGCAATCGAGTTCTTGTTGGCAAAAATGCAAGTGAAAGTTGATCAAAAGAAAAATTAAGCCTAAGTATTGGACGAGGCCATTGAAAATGCCCTATTGAAGTTGGAAAACATGCCTCATTTTCTAGATCATTTTCAGCTTCAACAATAGCTGCACCAATAGTGGCTCCACCTTCAAGCCGTGCAACCTTTGAGGCCCGGGAGTAGGTTTTCTCATTCTCTATTGCTCCAGATCGTTTGCATTTGATGTCAAGGACTGACAAACTTGAGGTAGCTTGACCAAGTTGATCATGCCTACGAGAAGTTGAAGGACCCTTGTGTTGATAGGGAGAAGGCGAAGGACCAGAAGCAAGGCGAGAACCATGGAATCGAGCAACTGGAACAAGAGATTCAGGTCTATTTACTGGCTCAGAATCGTCTCCTCTTTTAGCTTGTGACTTGTCACGCTTAATTCTTTCAGCTTGTCTCTGCAACGATTGAGAAATTATAATACTGTTCCACATGCAATAAAACGGAAATGATACATCACAAATAATATGCCGTGCTAAATCCTACTACATGTAAAGAAGAGATCTTACAATATGTGCAAGTTGAAACCAAAAGCAGAAACCGCCAAATACGAACATGAAAGATTTAAAAAACCTCTAATTTACAACTAATCCCAGACAAAGAGAGTCCAATAATTTGACACCAGGAACCTCTAATGCTGAATAGAAAAAGAGAGAATTTTAGTGCTGAAAAAAGTTGGAGTTTATGCAGTGTCCAAATTTCTGGAAAGGACTTATTCACTACAGAAATAGTAACACGGGTGCAGGACCCCACTACTGTCAACTTACACTTAGAATCCCAATATGTCATCACATATTAAAGTTCTACAATGAAACCAGCGCCACCGTAAACTTGTTTGTGCTCATAAGAAGTAACAGTTCTTCACAATAATCTTGATTTCTTAGTTACCAAGAAGTCGAGAACTTTTTGTATATTACCAAGTACTGAATAATGGGATAAAGGGAGACGACAAAGAGAGTAGAAAATCCCATACATGCGACTTGATTAAGGTGGATATTGTGAGACATCACACTAGGATAACATACTGGCTCAAATTAGCATTCAAACATATAACATCACCAAAAGAAAATGGAATGTAATATCAACAGTACAAATCTAAACACACTACGAAAAATTTAACGGGGTCAGAAAAAGACAGGTAAAAATAAACCTGATGTAGCCGTGCTCTTTTCTGGAATATTTTATCTTCAAATGATCCCACAGCTTGAATAAAGTGTTCCACCCTGCTCAGATTTGGCTGGAAACAAATATAAAAAAGAAAGGAAATGATCAGAAAATAAGAACTACAGATTTAAAACTACTAACAATGAGTCAGATGTTATCATAAAAACAAGAATCCTCCAGAGAAAATAATGCGTGCCTTGCTTCCATCTGTCAAGTAACCACCTAAAACCCGAAACTCCTTTTTGTAAACAGCCATAAGCAAGTTGATTGCACCCTGTTAACCAAAAGAATTGAGTGAATTATAATCACAAACACAAGCTAATCAGGCGAATTGGTAGCAATAAGGCACGGTCAGAAAACGACCACACTCGATTCATTTACTTGGACATAATTAGGGAAGCCTTTCCTGGTGTTTGAGTTAGGGTTATCAACTATAACTCTACAGTTGCTGTTCATGGAATGGAACATCACAAATGCAGTATGTACAAACCACGCTGTTCACCAGAACACAAGTATAAAGCAGACTGTTTAGTCCACCTTGGCAGATTGTGGTATGAAACGACTGTAACGGTACCAAACATTGTGAAACATATTCAATCACAGCATAAATGATTAAGAACTACAAGACATCATACCGTATAATCAACTGTGAATTGATAGTTTGTAACGAAAGGCGTATACTTGGCAAACCATAATTGATATTGTCAAAATTAATGCCTTAACTAAGTTCAACAAATTAGGTTCCTCAATTCCAACTAAATCCATATAAATAAGCTTTATCATACATTAAATTCAAGAACTTCCACTGCCATTTCAGTATGATTCCAGTTTGTTATCAACATTTAGTTAAATCTCCAGATATTCAATATATGGTATCAATGCTGTATTTGCTCTGTAAAAGCTATATGATAGAAGAACTCTTCATTCAAGCAAAATTACTGTTTATGCAAACGCAAATTTCAGCTGTGTGTTGATACTACACAATAATAAGTACAGATTGGTTTGGGAATTCAAACTTGAAGAAATACAAAAATAAAATAAATACGACAACCAAAAAACTATAAGAAAAAGGCAGACTGAAAACACACCTCACGAATCTCAAGTGTAGGCATATGCGGCAAGAAGTCATTGCCAACAAAGAAGCAAATGAAGATAAAATCATCAATTATGCGTTCCAAATCGATCTCGAAAGGAGGATTAGGAATCCTCATCTCATAATCCAGATATTCACGGAGAGTCCAAATATGCAAGAACTGCAATAACATGAACAAGTTATCTTAATTCTTAAGACATATTTATAAACAAGTATCAGACCAACTCCAACCCTGCGTTGGAGTAGAGTATATGGCTAGGGTTGTGTCAATATTCTTCTCCAATGCAGCGCCACATTTTAACGCCAGTTGAGAGAGATGGACAGTGTTGCGCCACATGTGGCGCAACACTATTCATCCGCGCTATATTTTTTTTTTTAATATTTACACCCTAGACCATATATGGTCTAGGGTAAAATGTAAAGTAATAATATATTTAATGTAAAAAATAAATAAAAAAATAATATATTTAATGTAAAGTAAAATGTAGAGATAAAGGTTGGAGATGAATGTTCAACTCTACTCTAGAGTAGAGTAATGTCCGCACTAGAGTAGAGATAAGGGCTGGAGATGGCCTCAGTGTGACGTTCTTCCGTGTGTACCTGAAAAGGCTTTTTAGGCACAATATCAGCATCTTTCTCATCAAATTCTCCTGCCTTTCTCTTTGGCTTCCCTTCGCAGTCTGCAGCTAGGTGACCAACTTGACCACAAATAAAGCATTTGTCTTGTTGCCCCGGAGTAAATACAACCTTAAACCAAATATTAAGGAAACACCCATCATCGTGAAGAATATTAAAAGTCGGGAACTAATATCGCAGACCCAATATTCAATAATTCAGTCAACCCTTGCTTCATTGCAAGCTAATCAAACATTTCAACAGGTGATAAGTAACTCTTCCTAAAAGATCTGAATTCACAGACGCCAAGAGCCCCAAAATATATTGCTAGGCTATGTTTAAGCCACTCAAAGCCTGCATGTACCTCTCTCAGAATAGAGAAATGAACTTCGTGAGTAGCCAAAGCCAGCATGATTAAATCAGCATCCTGTCATTGGAGCATCAGAAAACAGTCACCAAATCGGGAAAGAGTACACACAAAATAAGACATAAGAATAAATTTCAATATGAAATGCAACATGATACATACCAACCCATAAAGACAATGACGGGTATTTGGATCATAACCAGGGAGATTCCTTTGAAGACGGATGTAGGACATAATTTTGTGTTCCCCTTCACCAGGAACGTTTGCATCAGAGAGTATAACCTTCATAAAGCAAAGTAATTTTCATAAAGCGATGCAGTAGTTAGCCACATCTAGAAAAACAAAGGCTATTCTTTATGCTTCCTAAGCATAGTAACCACATATATAAGGAAAACTAAGATTGTACTCTTTATGCTTCCTAAACACTCTATTATGACACCACATCAAATAATACCTTGACATTTTTCCATCCAGGGTCGTGGTTTATTCTAAGGTGAATATAGTATTGCAGAGCAATTGACAAAACAGCCATAAATGGCGTTCCAGGAGTGATGACATTAGAATCAAAAAGTTGAGATTCTTTTTTGGGTGGAAGCTTCCTGCCTTCTCTTTCAAACTCTGCACGTAACTTTTCTTCTTCAGCTGCCTACAACATTATAGCAATGTGAGAAAATAATATTGCTCAATTTAACACATAATTATTCCACAGTTAACTAATTACAAGATTCATACCGCATCTGCCGCATCTTTAGCTGCCCTGAAACGCCTTGACCGTTGTTGATTCATCTTAGCCCTTGGGGCCACACCATCTGCCAAAAAATACCATGTTGAGTTAATGTTCACCTATATTGGCATCAACTTCCATTTAGTACTGATTGTTTCAAACTTTTACCCACCAATAGCCATGTAAAGCAGTTTCCTTGGCCGGACCATCACAAAAAGCCTATCTATATAGTCAAAGATACATTGGAACACCTCATCAAACGTGGTTGGAGAAGGCTGCATTAAATTAAGTATCTTGTAAGACTTTACAAGCAAAGAAAAAATAGATGAGAGATACTGCAATACTCTCCCAAACAGCTCAAAGCCTACAGAATTCTTATCCCGACCTTGTTGCCAAATTATAATGAGATATAAATATAAATTTGTGCACGATTCATTTTAGGGAAGAAATTACAACACATTAGATTATACATAAGAATATCAGCTAAATTGAGCCAATATAGAATATCTAAAATACAAATGCAGAGTTTGAAGCATATCATCTGAAACACTTTACCCAGTCAAGTTAGACCAATTAATAAAAATATCACCTTTTCACATTCTCAGCCAGAATAGTACACCACAAATCCTCTTCCCTAACCTAATTATTTAGAACCACAATGAACTCTTCTCCACTTCTCATTTATTCTTTCATCACATTTCATTTAGTCATTCCTAACTTAACAAAAACTACACTAGGAACTTATCATCAAACAGCAGCAATTGAACTTCCTCAAGTTATGGCGAAAGATTAACATGAACGCCAAAATTACCAGTCTTCCTGCAATTTATTGAATTACATATAGGAGAAGGAAAAAATCTATCAACCATCAATAAACTTGAAATATATTGTTAATGGGACTGGAATGCTAACATACGTTGTAGGGTACTAGGAAATTTGAACATTCGGATGGCGTGTACTTGTTCCACTACTCACATCAATTCAAAATTTGTTCGAACTAGAGCTACACCCATAATTCAAGATTGATACTGATAAGCTTTGGAGATTCTCAAAATGAAGGATATCGATATAAGCAACAACTTCAATGGACAAATAATTGGATAAATCACAGTATCAATGGCGGATGGCGGCAGGCTGAATCCCGCCACAGCAGCCAGTAGTGTCACCATAGAGCAATGAGGGAAATTTGATAACACTGATAAATCAATGGTGTAGCAAGGCTTGAAGAAAGACTTGTGAGATCCAAAGAGACAAGAACTTTCAAAAAGGTAAAAGGCATTAAAAGGAAGCTTATAGTTGTCGCAATTTTTGCGCATAAAGTTGCAATTGCATGTCTTAGTGTGTGTACATAAGACTTCCGAATTTCAAGTAACACTGTGATTTCAGAGCAAAAAGTTACAAATGCTGCATAGTGGTGAGTTCAGATATAATTTATCCCAGCTCTAACCCTTATAGGCTCTAATGAACTCGTATCTCAAATCCAACATAGGATGCTACGGTGCTTGATTTCAATTTTATCCTTGATGACAAATACAGCATATCCAACTGCACACCATGATAGACTTATTCTATTCACAATTTCACATATCATATGCTCCAAAAAGAAGGAGCAACCTGCAACCACAAGCTCCCTCCAGTACACACACATTGTTTAAGCACAGTTCACTATTATAAGGACCAAATGTGATAGCGATGGCCTACGACTTGTTGATAGCAAACACCCTCTTTAGGAAGAGGGAATCTCACCTAGTGACCTTCCATAGTGGACGTCACTCAAGTCAGATCGACTTTATCCTTGCAAGGAGGGAGGATAGACGCGCTTGCGTAGATTGCAAGGTGATACCTGGGGAGTGTGTTGTCCCCCAGCATAAGCTGGTGGTGGCGGACTTTCGTTTTCGAATACGTGTCCACCGAGACAATCGTGCCAAGACCGTGAGAACGAAGTGGTGGAAGCTTAAAGGAGAAGTGGAGCAGATGTTTAGGGATAGGATGCTAGGCGAGGGGCCTTGGGAAGAAGGAGAAGATGCAGATGACATGTGGCTAAAGATGGCAACATGTGTACGGAAGGTGACTGCAGAAGTACTTGGTGTGAGTAGGGGAGGCAAGCAGGATGCGAAAGACACTTGGTGGTGGAATGACGAGGTGCAGAGGGCTATTCAGGAGAAGAAAGAGTGTTTCAAGCGTCTCCATCTTGACAAGAGTGCAACCAACATTGAGAGCTATAAAATAGCGAGGAGGGCTGCAAAGCGTGCCGTGAGTGTATTTCCTAAAGGATTCGAAACATAAAAGAAAAATGATTAGAATTATGTGAGTCATTATTTTTCTTCCCCTAGTCTTCAACACAAGAAATCTTCGACCCAAGAAGAGGAAAAAAACGCCTGTACTCAGCTATAAAATTTATTTTGTACGCGGCATGGGGTTCTGTTTTTCTTT